ACTGAATGCGGCCAAGTGTCAACTATTGACCAAGCAAACAGATCCCTCAGTTGCTGCCGGAACGTGGGGAGTGTTCAAAGTCAAACCGGTAGAAACTGCCAAAGATCGTGGGGTGGTAATGAATTCTGATTTCAGCTGGGGCAGCCAGTGTGAAATCGCAGCTCGCAAAGCACTGGGAGAACTTTTCGGGCTCAGATCTGCTCTTTCTTGCAGAAAACCGGAAATTTTCGTCCCCTTATACAAGGCGATAGCAAGGCCTCATCTAGAATACTGTGTTTAAGCCTGGGAAGCTCTGCAACAAAAAAGACGCTGCCTGCCTAAAGAAATTGCAGAGATTAGCTACAAGAATGGTGTAGGGACAGAGGGGTAAGTTATACCAGGAAATATTAAGGGACCTCGAGCTATTTTCGCTAGAAGGAAGGCAAATCAGAGGAGACCTCATCGAAGCGTTCAAAATTAGGAGGGGGTTCTCTGGGATTCTTCCTGTGCAACTCTTTACTGATGCCCTGCATACTAGCACCAGGGGCCACGAGCACAAACTGATGAAGAAGAGGAGTAGGTTAGGTGTGAGGTCCAACTACTTTAGCAATAGAATAGTAAATAGGTGGAATAGACTACCTGAAGGACTAGTCAACCTGCTTAGTATCCAAGCCTTCAAACTGGCTTTGGATAAGAGGTGATTAGAACTGTTTCCGAACTAGGAATACTGAACAGAATGCGACCACTAGGTTCATAACTTTTTTGTATGCAGTATGAAGCGCATTCACATTAGAAGTCTCTCGTCGACACGGCAAGAAGTAAGGTTTCTCTTTCTCTCAGTTTGCAGATGGGCGAAGAAACTGATCAATTGAAGAGGTGGATGTACACTCGTGAGCACACCACCGAAGGAATTCTGGACGCGTGATTGGCCTGTGGCGACTACCAGTCCTGTGCAACCTGTATAACCTGGAAGATCAATTCGCTTTTGGTGGATCATCCTGATCAGCAGCGAGCTTCACTGATAGGATCGCTGCACTCAACCGTAGCAGGCAACTATTTCAAATTCAGGATAAATCGCGAGTTTTCCCGAAAGGAGTATTGACGATACACGTACATTCACGCTCCTCACAGGATTAAGGTGGATTAACGGTGAGCCCAAGGAGTTATTGAGCACTTTGTGACGATCCATTAAGGGTAGGCCATTTCCACACGTTTTTTTTTCGTCCTGCTGGCCAGCTGCCCATTGGGCATTTTCTATTCCATTCGTTAGAGGTTATTACTCATTAGGTCACCTCTCACTCTACTTCATCCAACCTTTTTCCACCATACCCCCACAAAGTTGTGAGAATGGCTAGGCGTCACTCTATAGGATCACCCTCGAGTCCCAGCGGGAGGTGTAGGAAGTGTTCCAAAGCCGTATCACCGGCGACACCTGCAACCGGTGATTTCATCGTGATCGCAGTAAGCTCACCCCCATGTTTACAGACTGTACCTAGATAACGCGGAGCTTAAATGGGTTTGTTGTGCCTGTTTACAACTAATTACACATAGCCGCACTTCAGTGCAACAGCAGACCGATGACGACAACTTCACTGATGAGGAGACAGTCATAGAGCTAAGGAAATGCCAACCGACAAAAGTCCTCCAATTAGAGCAATAAGGGCAAGTCTGGAAGCGCTTGAAGCAAATATGAGGTCAGAACTCCGGCGACTCCAATCAGACAATAATGCTAGAACAGCTAGTTTGTCCGAGATTAGGAAGGAGGTGACCAGCATGGCTTCCCAGATTAAAAATCTGGGCCACGAAACGGGCATTGCAATAGGCAGGCAGCGAAATGTTGTCATCAAAGGAATGGAAGAGCCGCTCTGCAGCAGTGTCAGACTGAGAGAAAGTGATCTGAGACACCGTGTCTCCTTCCTACTTAGACAGGTGGGAATCCCGGCCCACGCACTAATCAAAAGGATTTTCAGGCTTGGGAAATGGTCTAACGCGCAGGTAAGCATAGCGCGTTTCCCAAAACCAGTTCTCGTAGAATTTGGCAACCAGAGATTCCGCGATGCATTCCTGGCGGCGGGTAGAATAAAGAGTTTGACGAATGTGAAGATAGGCGTGTAACCAGGTAACGCATCTATGTATGCAGGCTTTTGCCGACAGGTATCACCAACTAACACGATATACGGCGATTCCCGGGGTAACTCACCGAGAATAGAGCTGAGTAGATTGCAGCATCAGTCACTGGCAAACGCTGCTCAACGTACCACATTTACTCCCAGGTCCGGCTCAACTACACCAACGCTATCTCCCAAAGGAAACAGACGTAACGATGAAGGCCCTGAGCGCACGCTAGTAGGACGGATGACAGTGGTCAAAGCTAATCGTAAGGACAGGCCGGATGATGTTGTGCCTACCCAGTTGGAGACTGGTAAGGAATTGTGGGTTACGGTGGCTCGAAGGGCCAGTGTTGGCGTCATTCCCTCTGCGGCGCCTCAGCGACTGAGGGCCAAGAGTATGCCAGCGACAAAGACGAAGAGGGCTCTCGGGCAGTTTGCCCGAGTGCAAACTAGACTTTAGTGACACCAAGGCTGGAAGGGGGGCTTGGGCTGGGGTTTATCAGCATTCTCCACGAATGCATGCAGCCTAGGCAGCAAGTGAAGAGAATTAAGGGCTGTAACCATAGGATCAGACTGTATTGTGATTGCCGAGTCATGGGTAGCGAGGCCATTAAAACGGAGAGCCTACAACTCACCGGGTACTGCGCGTACAGCTCGGACAAGGAAGATGGTAGGGGTGGAGGTGGCATATTACTCCTTGTTTCGGACACCCTAGATCAGGCCGAGGGCAATCAAATGTCCACGCCGAATATTCAGGCGTGCTCATGCACCATACAATACACGAACTGCATAGTGACGGTAGTAGGTGCCTACAGAGCACCACTCTCAGATGAGGAGGAGGATGGTCAACTGCTCGACTATCTGACCAGGGTAAGCAACCATGCGGAGCGGTTGGTCATCATGGGTGACTTCAACTCTCCGGAGGTAGACTGGGAAAGCCTGTGGGCCCCTCGCTCTGATTTTGGTGGAAAACTAGTGGACTTGATGATAGTGCTACCCCTGGTGCAGCACTTCAATCAACCCACTAGATGGCGGGAGGGGCAAAGGCCTAGTATGTTGGACCTAGTTCTATCCAAGATGCCGCAGCATGTGGAACAGCTCGGGGTTTCTGCTCCCCTAGGGCGAAGTAATCATGAAATACTTAGGTTCCACACCAGGAGGAACCCTCCCCTGGTCCCACATGAGCTCAGGATGGACTATAGGAATCTGGATGTCCTGGCGCTCAGGCAAGCAGCAGAGGCAATCCAGTGGGCAACAGATGGCCTCCACACCATGCAGCAGGAGTGGCAGTTATTCAAAGACAGCATCGCCTGGCTCACGGACGCTTTCGCTCCCCTGAGAAAGGTCAGAAGAGGAGGCCGTCCGCCTTGCTGGGCGTAAAGGGTAGTCAGAACACAAGCCATAAAGCGGAGGGCTTGGAACCGTCTCAGGAACAGGAGTGGCCATCGTCAGCACCTAAGTTATCGGGTGGCGAGAGAAAGGGGACTTAGGACTCAGAGACACTGTCAAAGGGAATATGAGATTAGGATTGCTCGCAATTCCAAACAGCGACCAAAAACCTATTACAACTATGTGCAGTCTCAGGGTCACTCTGGAGTTGCCGTTGGAAATGTAGTGAATGCACACGGTGTCAGCGCAGCCCCCAGCAAGGAGAAGACTGAATTTCTAAAGAGCTTCTTCGAGAAGGTTCACTTAACGGAACTGGGAAGGCCGTTGCCTGACCTTCTGTGTAGACTCCCCGAACAGCGCATGACCCCGTTTGTATTAGAGGCATAAGAGGTAGAAGCAGCACTGAAACAACTAGATCAGAACAAGGCCGCGGGCCCGGATGGGCTGCATCCAGCAATACTGCTGCCCATTGCTGACATTATTGCAGGTGCGCTTACTCAGCTTTACAACCGATCTGTTGCCTCTGCAACGCTGCCGGCCGACTGGACTACGGTGGAATTGGTGCCAATTCACAAGGGAGGATCAAGGGGGCTGCATCGAGCTATTGTCCAGTAAGCCTGCTTTCGGTTGTCCTGAAAACCTTCGAGCGGCTCCTCAGCAAGAAGTTAGTGGGTTACTTGGACGACCAACACCTCATAGCTGGCCAACAACACGGCTTTGTCAACAGAAAGTCGTGTCTCACTAAACTCCTATCATTTCTGGACGAGGTAACAGACAGGTTGGACGCAGGGGATCGAGTCGAAGTGTGCTACCTCGATTTCATGAAAGCCTTCCACTCGGTCAACCACAGATTCCTCCTGCTCAAACTGGAAGTTCTACGCCTAGACCAGCAGTTAGTGAAGTGGATCAAAGCGTACCTACATGAAAGGAATGGTCGAACAGGAAACCTCGGGGTTGGCAGCAGTCTGTAGTGGGGTACCTCAAGGCTCAGTCCTTGGTCCTGTACTATTTGTGCTGTATGTAAATGACGTCACTGAGGTCTTCCGGTGCCCTGGGTTCTTATTCGCAGATGACCTTGAAGTAGTAGGGAATCCCTCATCGGGGGATTTACAGGATGCACTCAACGCAATTAATGACTGGGCGGCCTCAAGGGAACTACCTCTCAACGGCAGAAAGTGCAGGCACCTGCTGCTGAATAGAAGGTCCGAAGAGGTGCGGCAACTAGGCGCTGGGTCGATGAAAACCATAGAACCTGCAGATGTAGTCAAGGATCTAGGGATGCAGATACACTCCTCCTTTAAGCCCTCAATGCAATGCGCGGCAGCCGCAGCGAAGGCCAATAGAG